CCTTTTTTGATTTTAAGAAAAGAGGCTCTGAAAATATCACAACGCAATTATCTTCAGGTCAGCAAGGAAGCCACTGCCAATAATTGTAGGCTTTTCAAGATGAATATTTGGGTGATCGGCATTGTTTTCAAGGTAATTTTCAATTTTACCGGTACCGGTAGTTTTTACCGTTATTCCAGTTCATACTCGCTTGTTTTACAGAATAATATGTTAGATTATTAAATAAGTTTGGTTACACCTAGCAAAACAATCTTCTCAACCCCACAGAAGATCTCTTCCACTTCCAAATTAAGTGGAGTGTTGCTGGTCTTCGTATATACGTACCACACAAGAAACAATCTTTGAACTTTTTCAAGTTTTTTCGAGGCGTTTTTGAAGAATCTTCAACTTGTGTTATTGGACAGCTCAAATTTACGAACTGCTTCAGTAATACTGCCAATACACTCGGAAGTCCATAAGAATTCTGAAAAGGTGGAAAAGGAAGTTGAGAGGATTTTTGAAAATTAGAGAAAAATTGATGTCAACTGTCACATTACAGCCATTGTGTCCAGTGTATTCATGTACCAGTTTTTTTAATGTGAAAGTTATTTCTACGAATAGAACTACTTCCCTTTTGCAAAAATGAGGCTTTATTGAGTTTTTGAGAGTTCTCCAAAGGAAGGCACAAGAAGTGCAACAAAATTCTGTGATAACCTAATATTAGTTTGCTACACAAGTTGTAGTCCAAATACTATAAGAAATTTGTTTCAAAATTTTCAGATGTTTAATTCAAATTACATGTCTTTTATTCATTTGTATAGAAATTTCATAGAAACAAACGGGAACATCGTCTGAAAAAACCCCAGAATCACGATTGTAGATAGCTTCATAAGTAAGTGGCAAAGCCACAATCTGAACTCTAGTCAAATTTTTTGGCCTTTCCACATCCGTAGTATCAAATTTTTTCATTTACTTAGTTTACATCTCTGAAAATTCCGTTATGGTTTTTTGCAGCTAGATTTAGAACTGCATAATTGCTTTCTGACCTGCATAGAATCAGACAAATCTTTAAACGGAAGAGAATCACTATTTCCTAGATACTTCATGCAAGACTTATTCATGAACTTGCACAGCTTTCAAATGACAATTTTTTTACTACATTTTCAGACTTCCTTTTTAGGTTATACCTTGCATATTGCTCATGATTCTCAGTTTTGGCTTGGTTGATAAAATTCGACAGGCGGAACGCCACCGCCGAAAGCTCACAAATGTCAGTCTCAACAATCCCAATTCCATTGATGGCACATCTCACCCAAAAAAGTAAGCTGGCGGAAATTTTCGCGCTTGGAAGCGTCAGTTGTACAGGGGCAAAAGTCAAAAAATTCATTTTCAGGAAATCATATAGATCGGATAGAACAACTACAGTATTAGTGGTAATCCTCATAGTATTTCTAATCACAGAGTTGCCTCAAGGAGTAATCTCAATTCTATGTGCCGTTTATACTGCTGATGTACACAAGTAAGCAAGTATATTCATTCGTACCTATTTTTGTTTCTTAACAACAACATTTACAGATACTTGTACTTTAATCTGGGCGATATTTTGGATTTGCTTTCACTAATGAATTCATCTGTCAATTTTGTTCTTTACTGCATAATGTCGTCTCGCTATCGGCAGACGTTCTGGATGGTTGTTCTTCCTGCTAGTGCGCAATCGTAAGTTTCTTTTCAGTTCAAAATCCAAGATGCGAGAGGAA